ATATATATATATATATTGCAGTACTACAGCAAGCTGAATAAAATCAGTGCACACAGACTTACTTTGGAGAATTCAAAGGAACTGATGGGCTGTTTGGCAGTCCGAAAAGTGCTTGGTTGTTGCCCATTTGGTGTGAGGATGCAGACACCGGAACGGTTCCTTCAGTTTGGTCGTTCCGTAAAAGGTGAAAAGACTGCTGTTGGCGTCCATGTGATTCCCTTCTTGACAATTGTTTAACCAATGGTGAACTTGTTGCCCTAACATCCAGTGTGGGCCCACTACTGACACTTCTGTATAAAAAATCTGGAGCATTTATTCCTGCTGAGGTCCCAGACTGCAGTGCAGTTGACTTCAAAACTAAATGAGGTGAATCAGCAACCGACAAGCTGAGGTCTCCTGGAGTGAGCTCTGCCACGTGAGGAAATGTGGATGCACATGCGCGTATTGAACGCATAGGAGATATTGATGAACAACTATGACATCGTTCCCTGAGGTCTGCAAGGCTAGTAGGTGATAAGGGATAACTGAGTCCAGTCATATTCTCGGTCGTACTGGGGGACTGAGTAGCTGCTTTGTTCTCATCGACACGCAATGGATCAGCAGCCTGCAATTTTTCCTTTTTTCGATCTCTCCTTAATCGGAAACTGCGGAAGATGGGGAAACTGGGGAAACGAAAACCTCTTTGGGATTTGGAGTCCTTCAGTTCCTTCGCTTGAATTGACTCTGTACAGTCGGCTCGCTCTCTAATTGTTGCTGAGTTTTGGACCTGGTCGCCGGTGGAGGGGTAGGCGATCAGTTTAACCAAATGCTTTGTAGTATTCATTGTTTGTGGATACCTTGGGAAGGAGAAGGAATCAGGCTGCAAAATATTCCAGTACGGTATTTGTTGGCTTGCACTGAAGTTTCCAAGGTCTTGATTCTTGGGTGGGGAAAATACAGGGTTCTGTTGCAGCTTGGTTGTGAGGACAGTAAAGGGGTGTGTTTGTTGGTTGGGATTGACAGCCACAGGGAATGTGTGCGTTGAAGGCCCGTTGGAAACGCGAGGACTGCACATTTTATTACATGAGTGTGGTGAGCCAAACATCTCTGGACGAGTGGCGAGTCTTGATGAAGCTCTAGAAGGCAGATCATTTGCCCAAATTTAGCAGTAAAGAGAACAGGATAAAACACACAAGTTCGAGATCTGTGTCATTTACTACATCAACTGGATCGAAGTAACCATAGAAAAATCCGAGGAAAATAAGTAGGTGGGATTCTTATGGGCTGCCTCGTGTATGTAGCCGCGAAAACTAACAATGCAGTGATAATTGAATGACTTCAATCACATCGGGCAATCGGGCCATTATTCTGTTAACCGACGCTTCCAGGTTAATACCTGGCACAATGATGTGAAATGTTCATATAGCAGTCCAAATCCAATTTGATGGTCGAAGCACCTTGTTGACGTGATATGAATACTTACTTTACAAATCCGGCGCCTACTTAAAGATAACGCTGTTGACTCTTCTTGTACTAACATACCTTTTGCAATACGACGCTGTCACTAGACCCCTATAGGGAAAGTCAACCCCCTGGAAGAGGTAAGCGAGCTACATTCAGTTGTATCCGATCTAAAAGAACGGTGATTTTACTAAGATATTCATCGTTGACCAAACGATTTATTGTCGTCTGCATGAGAAAGACGTCACACTATACAACATTGACAGCATAAACAAGTAAAAAATTTAAGATAGGAATTATCAAACTTCTGGTAGTATTCACTCATTCTTCTAATTTTCACTCTCCAGTGGACCATTTTAGTGACGCTAGAAGTCCCAGCTTCTGTTCTAGTCGGTTTCACTACTAGATCTTCAATACGCTGTTGGCACGTGAAGCAAATTTCCAGCCGCCTCTGTCGGGATGCCACTTTTCGTGACCCACACTGTGCCTACGTGTGGGCTGGACGACTATTCAAAGTAGCAGGCTGTTGCACGTATCACTTCCACAAGAAATCGTGTATATTCGGGGAAGTAATCGATGGGTGGTAAATAAGTCTTGCACGGACGTGGCAAACAGACTGACCATCCACAACGAGTGTGACGGGTACGAAGACCGTATATGCTACTAAAGCGAACGGTTGACAAGCAGGAGAACTGCACGTCCATAGGTTGCTATGTGCTTAATAGTACCGGAGCACACGTATCCTAGCTGGTCAAGTGGTCCGATCATTTGCGTTTTAGAAGTGACTATTTGATAAGCTCAAAGCTTTTCTGTTGGGGAGTGAGGTGGAACTTCTTCACTTTATCCTCTCCAACCATACACACTTATTTTTCGGAGGATTCACTAGATGCGAACCGTCACTGGGCCTAAAAAGAACGAAACGACTGAACAATGACCAGTCAGCTGCAGAGCAGAAGTACTGTGCTAATACTAACCTGGGAGTTGCGATCTCGGGTCTCTCTCGGCCTTCCATAAAGGGGTGTGTTTGTTGGTTGGGATTGACAGCCACAGGGAATGTGTGCGTTGAAGGCCCGTTGGAAACGCGAGGACTGCACATTTTATTACATGAGTGTGGTGAGCCAAACATCTCTGGACGAGTGGCGAGTCTTGATGAAGCTCTAGAAGGCAGATCATTTGCCCAAATTTAGCAGTAAAGAGAACAGGATAAAACACACAAGTTCGAGATCTGTGTCATTTACTACATCAACTGGATCGAAGTAACCATAGAAAAATCCGAGGAAAATAAGTAGGTGGGATTCTTATGGGCTGCCTCGTGTATGTAGCCGCGAAAACTAACAATGCAGTGATAATTGAATGACTTCAATCACATCGGGCAATCGGGCCATTATTCTGTTAACCGACGCTTCCAGGTTAATACCTGGCACAATGATGTGAAATGTTCATATAGCAGTCCAAATCCAATTTGATGGTCGAAGCACCTTGTTGACGTGATATGAATACTTACTTTACAAATCCGGCGCCTACTTAAAGATAACGCTGTTGACTCTTCTTGTACTAACATACCTTTTGCAATACGACGCTGTCACTAGACCCCTATAGGGAAAGTCAACCCCCTGGAAGAGGTAAGCGAGCTACATTCAGTTGTATCCGATCTAAAAGAACGGTGATTTTACTAAGATATTCATCGTTGACCAAACGATTTATTGTCGTCTGCATGAGAAAGACGTCACACTATACAACATTGACAGCATAAACAAGTAAAAAATTTAAGATAGGAATTATCAAACTTCTGGTAGTATTCACTCATTCTTCTAATTTTCACTCTCCAGTGGACCATTTTAGTGACGCTAGAAGTCCCAGCTTCTGTTCTAGTCGGTTTCACTACTAGATCTTCAATACGCTGTTGGCACGTGAAGCAAATTTCCAGCCGCCTCTGTCGGGATGCCACTTTTCGTGACCCACACTGTGCCTACGTGTGGGCTGGACGACTATTCAAAGTAGCAGGCTGTTGCACGTATCACTTCCACAAGAAATCGGGGAAGTAATCGATGGGTGGTAAATAAGTCTTGCACGGACGTGGCAAACAGACTGACCATCCACAACGAGTGTGACGGGTACGAAGACCGTATATGCTACTAAAGCGAACGGTTGACAAGCAGGAGAACTGCACGTCCATAGGTTGCTATGTGCTTAATAGTACCGGAGCACACGTATCCTAGCTGGTCAAGTGGTCCGATCATTTGCGTTTTAGAAGTGACTATTTGATAAGCTCAAAGCTTTTCTGTTGGGGAGTGAGGTGGAACTTCTTCACTTTATCCTCTCCAACCATACACACTTATTTTTCGGAGGATTCACTAGATGCGAACCGTCACTGGGCCTAAAAAGAACGAAACGACTGAACAATGACCAGTCAGCTGCAGAGCAGAAGTACTGTGCTAATACTAACCTGGGAGTTGCGATCTCGGGTCTCTCTCGGCATTCAAGGGATGTATATCGCCGATGATTTGCCGTGCAATTTAATGCCTCCCGGTCACTCCAAACGTGTTTGCATGAATCTATGTGACAAACACTGAACTGACAACTTAACAATCATTCCTCCATCTCAATTCTGCTCTTCGGTAATTATTTTAGGAAGCATCAAGCAGTGTTTTCGGTGTTCCTATTCCCAGGTTGAGTAGATGCGCAAGCAAATTTAAGGCGGTCTGGCTTTTTGAAAACGTGACATCATGTAGCTGACCAGACAACCAAAGAAACCAGCAGCGCCACAAGTGCCGAAAAGACCGAGGATACCAGTGGCGACAGCATCGGGAACACAAACAACTAAATCATGTGAGCCTCGGAGAATCACGTGATATTCCAACCCTAAATACGACCTGATTTGTATCAAGACTTGTTTATGTCCGACGGCACCGTCGTTCCCACATGGAGTGGCTGGAGAAGAGAAAATCTCTCCACGAAACCACCAAAATGAATAGTGAAACTGGATTGATCAGTAATATGGAAAGAAAAGCCTCGACCGAAATGCACTTGAGTCCTTTGAGATCATGAGGACAAATTACGCTGTCAGATCGATTTCGGAAATCAAGACTAGTTTTTTTGCACGAAATGATATTAAGCCCATATGCACGACGAAATTACTGAACCCGGAGACCGATGCAGTTCCATGTGGTCAGTAACACCGGTAATGGGCTATGCGTGGACTTTGAGCGTTTATCCCACGTTAGTTAACTCAGAAACAATACTATTTTTAAACCTACCGGTTTCTGCATGATTCCGTTTGGGGTTGGGTGGCTTCACAGTTGTGTTGGTTGTGTGAATTAGATGAATTTGGATTGCCGTAGGAAGGATGGATGCGTTCATTTGTGGACGTTGCAGAAACACTCGATGTAGTGCAGAAAAATATGGGATTAGGACCACACTCGTGTACTCCATTCTGTCGAGGAATGGTGGATGCCTTCAACAAATTCTCATGGGTTGTTGGTTCATGTATTTGTGTGGTGTGCTGGACCTCACAGGGACTCGCAAATGGAATAGGACTGATGGGATTGACAATGGAATCTACCCACGCAGCAACTCTTGATAACGAGCTGTTCGTCGGACCGTAGGAGGTTGAGTTCTCTGGCTTGTGCCATGTTTTGTGCCTGTAATTCTCCAGTAAATGTGAACGTGTTTGACTCTGAGAACTCCATGCCGTTGATTTATTCGGCTCTTCAATTAGTCTAAAATTGTGTTCTTTTTGGACTGCGTCACTCTGCAAATAATTGAGCCTTTCGCTCTCACCAATCGGGGTTCGATCATCCATGGTCAACAGCTTTTCTCCGCATCCGCTGGGTTAACGAAAGTAAACATGGTTGTTAAGACTAGGAAAGTAAGGTTCTAACGGGGTAACACGTTCACGCATTCGTAGCTAGTACCCGTAAGTAACTAACAAACTGTTGAACACACAAGGTCGCATATCCCAAGAATGTTCAGAGCTTTGTGTGACGTGACATTTCAAGTGCCGTAACACTACTTGTGGCCTGTACACCGAATTCGGCCTTCTTCAGCAAACACGTGAGGTACGATATTTCCTCCATCTTGAGTTTGTGTGAGTCGTTGGACAGAAGCCTACTTGTTGGAGCAGAGATTCGTTCTTCCAGCGAAGTATAATTAATTCTTAGATAAGAAAGTCTGAAAGATGCAAGCTAATTGAATTATATTTTCCCACAATTTACGGTTACAGCATTATTTCGATCGAGAGGCTAAAGGAATAAAACAGCTTTGATAAACAACAGGGAAAGGCTTGTGACATATACTGAGGCATCAACTCGATTATTTCGTGGTCGATGAATAACACTGTTTATTCCACCACAAACGATTAGTATTTATGCGCAGCTGAAGTTAGAACGCAAATTTACAATTTCCGAGAAGTCATGCCCAGGTTCTTGCCACAATAGAGCCACAGTAGCGCCATTCCAGATCCTGACGTGTAGCATACTCCATATAAAAACTGCTGAGCTAAAATCAACTTGGTTTATGTCCAGTAGCATCAGCAAAGACACTAGTCATTCTGGTGCGGTGATCGACGACAAATCTGTGTCGGAGTAAAGGATACTTTCCCATTGGCTTTTCTTACTGGGGAGAGGTTTGGTGATTTCCAAAGTGAGGTGTTATTCCGTGTGGCTTTACGGGAGTGTGCTACTCTGATGAGGCATTAAAGACGAATTTGTTCCTTCGCAATCAATGAAGTCTCTTAGGTATGTTTTCGGGAAAAGGGAGTATGGATATTCAAATTAGAGCGAAGTGTTCTTAGTTGTTCCACCCTCAATTAGATTCATACTGCGCAGGCAAATTTTTCATCGTCGAACTACACTGACCACATAGGAATCCATATTGTGGTATCACCCTCAGTAAGCGGTTGATCAAATTACTATGGAAACAAAATCAGCACAAAAAATGCTAAGTTAGATGTCATGGTGCTGTAAACTTGATCCTCTAGAGCAAATCGCTCCTGTTTTTCTGTTTATACAAACTCATGTCCACAACATGACATAGTAACATCAATTCCTGTCCGGATTTGGGGGAGTGTTCGTGACAAGGGCACAACTTGCCTATGGACGTAAGGCGTAAACACCAAGATATAACTTAACCACCATGAAACCAAAACGCGACCTACTTGAAATAAGAGCTGGATTCGGCTGAGCACTCTTTAGTATCACAGACGAAATCATCTTTCAGCGTCTTTAGTGGACTGTAGCCGAGGCGATTCATTGACTCCGGAGTTCTTGGATTCAATACGTCACTAAAATCCATCGAGGGTGCTGTTCCCAAAAATGACAAACAAATCTCCAGATCATCCCGATTATCTCTTTCATTCTAAAAGGTGGATAGAAGTGTTCTGCTTAGCAAAGTGCCTGTTTTAGCAGTATCGTTTCTTTTCAGTGGATCAGATAGAACTGCCACACGCATGTCCGATTTATAACAATAATAATTCGCTTTACTTCAACTCTGAGGCTGCAGGACCGATAAGCTGAGGCTACTGTTTGTGACTACTCATCGTTCAGTTCCTACCAGAGCAACACCTGGAATGCACCAGTTTGCACTGGCTTACCCATCCGAAGCAGCCAGCAATATGCATGACAGGGTGAGAAATATCCATGGAAAACAAGGGAAATTCAGTACACTGAACCTCGCTATATTTGGTTGAATGTTTTCAGGAAAAGGCAATCACTGGATCCTAATTCGGCAGGTGGTCCAGTGGAAAGTTCATGCCATAACGGACTGTAAAACTAGGAATGTGAGCAGCAAGGTCAGTGCTCTGAAGAAAAAGCTTCATTACCATTGAGATAAACCGCAACTTAAAATAAAAACAGTGTACAATTGGGTGGGTTTGAAGATGGATGCAACCCTGGAACTTTTCAACGAAGAGACTGCGGGCCGGACAAAACTGAACTACCAAACTGATCATCAGATCGCTACACATTTAGAGGCCTCGTCATTATACCCGCCGCCTGCTGTAAGCAAAATGGATGTTGGATGAGTAGGGGGTTAACTACTCGCCAAGCTGGTTGTGACAAGCAACCCAAATGAATCCAAGCTGTCTGTCGTTAATGATACTAAAATAGAACATAAGGTTGACGAAAACTGGGAGACTCAGCCTACCTGAAGAGCCCTAAAAATAGTGAAACCTATCGCGGGCTGCCGAAGAGTTCTTAGCAACATTAGGAGTGGCTTCTTTCGAGGTAATTAGCTGTTCGTTTGACAACAGTGGACTACGACGTTCAATTGCGAAGTAAACTGCGAAAACTTTCTTCTCGCTTTTCCCTTGAAAAACTGCTGACATTCCGACGGATAATTGGGTGGTTAGAATGGAAGAGGACTTCTCCCGGAATAAGAAATACTCACTTGATCAGATGCAACAGACTAACCAAAATTATGAAGTTTCATTTTATCAGCCTGAAGAAGTCCTGACTCTTTGTGCCGAATTCATTCGCCAGGACCCCACACGTATGGCAACCACAATTCGAACGGACCATACAGTCGATCCCATTTGGTTGGATGAATGTGGGATACAAGAATTGGCATGAGTAATGTGTCAGAATTCAGGAAAATACACTGAATCCAGCTGAATCGACCTTAACTAAGCTGACGGAAGAAAACGATTATTCTTCTATTGGCTGTAATAGATTCGCTCATCCCCGGTTGTCGGTCAAATGAAGTGTACGAAGTGGGGAGATTCTTTTGATCTCATTTCGGGTTCCAGTTTATTCTCGGTCGATATGAGTAAACTGCTTAGAACTTCCAACAGTTTTTTATCACCAAAAATCTTTTCATGTTTGACTATTCGACTGGGACCCAACAGGAACGTCAAATTGTCGTCGTCTGTAGTAGTTGGTGCGAGGTGTATGGTAATACTGACCTTCTGTGGAACCCTAACACCAGAGGCTGAATACAACAGCACTCGAGTTCAACTTCAACCAATTGCGCCTCGCATTGCTGCTCAAGTCTCAAGCAGTCTGACACTGCGTATAAGGCGAAATTCGACCTACAATAATTGCTATTTTGTGTAACTACTTAAAAATAAGAAGTAGAATATAATACACACTTTTCATTTCACTCACTTCATCTCGGCCCGATTTGTCTGCCTTCTGAGTGTTACGGGTGCCATCATTTTTCAAAGGAGATTGCCGTCTGTCCGTTGTGTCAGCGAGAACAGATTCTATGAGTTCGGCTGGTTGAAAACAAAATCATGTGAAAAAAGGGATTGAGGAGCGCTAATACGGAACGTGAAAACAAATCATGTGAAAAAAAGGGATTGAGGAGCGCTAATACGGAACGCAGTTCGCTGAAGTTGTACTTGTATGTGTCCACCGAAACCTGCATATATTGTCAGTCACATTCACCATTTTATTGACAACTAAGAAAACGATGTGGGAGGTCTCAACAATGCTTCTTACATAAATTTCCTCTGGCTTTACTTCAGGTGATGTTATGTTTGGTACACATTATGCATGCATGTGTTGGGAACAAACGTAGTGTTTCAAAATTGTACAAGCAAGCTAATTCGCCATCATCTGTTGCTTAGTTGACTTGAAATGCGTACCACTTTCAAGCATGCTGAGGAAGCATTCCAAGTATAAACAAGAATTCAAAGAAGGGAAGAACTCGCGAACAATGCTCTTTTGAACTTCGAAAGCTGAAAAACTACCCAAGTAACACCAAACTTTCGGAAATAGGACAAGCGCATGAACACTGCAGAGGTTGACAGCGAGGGACAAAATAATATCTCATCTGAGAAATGTGCTATAAGTCTAAATGGAACAGTAGCCTACCATTGTGGGGAGCACTTCTATCCTCAAAGTGCAACTCGTCCAAATATGGCAGTCCTTCGAGCCGCAGCAGCGATAGACATTCAAAAAGTGGCCCCGTAGAAGAAGATTTGATGGTGTTGCCATCAGGTACAGTTTCCGTTTCTTCCGTACGCTCCGATATGTCTGATAGAGCCCGTGGACCAAGCTTTGCACCATGTTCCAAAGTCGAACAGCTGCTTGCATCCACCGACGAAATTTGGTTCTGATCGTCCTCCGCATTATTGTCTGTTTGCCAGGCACATGAATGAGATACAGAAGGGTACTTGCCCAAATCATTCTCCTGCGTGCACTGTCAACGGGAAAACCACAGATGCCATAAGTGGAGGATCCCGTAGGATTATCATAAACACAGTAATAACAGAATGACAGTTACAAGTTACCGACCGTAAGAAGTTGAATAGCTTTTCGAACAAAGTCGAAAAAACAGCAGCTAGTTGACAGATCCAAAACCTTCTAATGTAGTCAGTTGGAACACAGAAGAACGACAAAATAGAATTTGTTCACCTTTCAGGAGAAATGATGAGGTGATGGTGATTAGAAACCGACAGATACTCAAATGTAAAATTGATAAGGCAAAAGGTGATAGTCATACAACATGAGGAAAAAAAATCAGATATCAGTATCAATATTATTTGGTGTCACCATTAAACGAAAGAGTTCCCACCGACTACGAACAGCTTAAAACACCAGGGCTATTTGTGCAATGTGTATTCTAAGTGTGGACTATTTGAATATTACACTGAGCATTTGGAGCAGTATGATATGGCACTGGATCTTAAAGGTGTATTCTCATTCTAGCAAAACCTATGAGTCCCAAACATACAGAAATTTAGCGAAATATACTCATTTACCGACTAATTTGGTTTTAACGGGAGACCTACTGAATCTAAAATGGATTTCTCATTTGCTATGCTCTTCAACTGAATTTACAACACAGAGGCCTCCACATAAATCACTTGGTACGATGTTCGAGATATCCCGGTGTGAACACAATCAGAACAATAAATCAAGGTGGCATGCATTCAGTAAAATGGCGAGGTTCTGTGACAGCTGTTACGTACATCGTAGGCGCATCTGAATGATTCGCTATCGTGGATGTTCAACGGTGCTACTGTTGACACTGTTGCTGATTTAGACAGCACTGCGCAAGGTGCTGTCCCAAGTTCACTTGAGTGCCTTCTTGGTTGTACGACTGAATATGTTGGGGAACATACAGATGAGCTTGGGCATAAGCAGTGGGACCAGTGAGGACCGGAAGAGGACACGCACTCAGTAGCTTTTAAGTTGATGTCGAGAGTGCCTGCGACTTTAGGACCGTCAATCCAGGTCTCTTCCTGCGACAAAAGTGCTTCTTTGAGTCTGGGCGAAATGGCGCGAGGCCAAACTTTGGCGTTTGTCCGAGGTATCATTCGCTTCACCACGTGCACGCCAGTCCCAGAAACGGACGTATTCTATAGACAGAAATAAATATGAAAGCGTGAAGAACTCACCTAAGGGAATACTGAGTACAACCAAAGCTGACGGAGAAGATGGGTTAAGTGTTATAAGAGCCAAATAACATTATCATCGGGTGTTACAAGAGGTTGAATAAAGTAACGGCGATAGATGTATAGTGATAGTTTCACTGAGGAAACCTGAAGTGTATATTACTGGCTGGATCGGATATAGCATTTCAAGCATTCGTTCAGATAGGAAATATTAGGACAGAATAATGCAAGCGTTTTTTAAGCAATAAGTATTTTCCCATGCATTCGGCATACCTTTTTTGGCGTGATTTGGCTTGAATTTCTGGTCAGCGTTCGATTTTGCTGTTCCCCACCGCTGAGTTGCCCTGAGGAGGCTGACCGGGCGTCTACGCTTCCGTCCGCTTTGCCCCTTGGTCCGAGCCTTAATAAAGCTGCGTTATTAATTTGGCCATCGATTTCCTGTTTACGTCCTAGATAGATGACTGTTTCACAGGATTGTTCGCTGCTTGATGTAAAGTCCACATCGGAATTATAGGAACGCCCGTAGGATGATTTGCCCATCCTTGGACCTCGTAGTCTTCTTCTGTAAACTTCGGTCTGAGCGCTATCAGAGCAACTCTCCATAGATGATCCGGTGTCCTCGGAGTAAGATGTCAATGTGAGGTGCGCTGGAATCGATGTACTGGGACCGACACGGCGTCGCCTGAGACGACTTAGTTTCGACGCAAGTTGTAAAATCTTAAATGAAAGAGACGACAAATAGGTCAGTTAAAAAGCTGATGTCAGAAGCCCGAGTTCAAACGGACTAAGAAGAAGGAACAGGATGATCACATGGCAGTAAGCTAAATAACTGAACTTAAAATATGAAGGCAATGCTGGAAATGGACAAGATCTATATGAGATTTGAACCGTCAGAGGAAGACATCAGCAGTGTGAAAATATATATCAGCATAGATATGAGTTACCAAAGACCCCGAGTGAATGGATACAGCGGTGAAACCTCTCGCTAAAGTTGCAAAGTGATGGAAGGAAATTAGTAAGGAAAGAATGTGCACAAGCAAGGGAACGAAGTTTGGTTCTTCGACAAGCAGCGGAATCGATAGCAGTGAAATTCGGGCTGAGGTTTCCTTGATATGTCACTTGCGTCCATAAGTCCTAGTGAAAGAACAAAGTAATCCCTGAAGAGGTAGGTCGAATTGACCTTTACTAAGCCAATTTTGGAGGCCCTACGCTACCGCACCAGGTTTGTGAGAAAAAGAACAAACAAACAGGAACTTTTTCAGAGTTCAGCAATCCTCGGCTGAATTTGTCCTAGAGCACAGGTATGGTGCGGCTCATAGTGAATACCCATGATTCTATACATGTTCGCCGTTAAAAGTAATTTTTTGAGGTACTTCGCTGCCGACTAGCTTCTGCAAACGTCGATTATGGCTTTATGGTTATTTTGGTCTCTTCTCAAAAGCATCCGCATCAAAACCCTCAATTACTTTCTCACTGGCTTATTTAGTCTGCGACCATTTTCTCCTGGATAAAAGTTAATTGGTTATACTGATTCTTCGAGTCTCAGCGGAAAAGAAGCACTGTTAGGGACCGAGTTAGGGAATGGTCATGGAATGAGATGGGCTACTGTGTCTTTAGGATGTTTCCAGCGCCGCTGGGCATTTCTTGATTAGTGCCTTTGTATTATTAAATGCAGGCCACTAAGCAGCCGGAATAGCTTGAAGAGCTTGGAAAGGTCGCTGACCTAACAGTCCACTTCGTCCGGTATTGGTATTTGCCCGGGTTCCATCCCCTAGGCATTGTCTGGTCGAAAGGAACCAGCAGGGTAACATAACACCAAAGTTATCGATGATCGCCGTATGGTTCGCACGACTTTTCGCTCAACTAAGTACTGACTAGAAGCCTATAATGTGTGAAGCACTTTCATGGTGGGATAACGCCTTCCAATTTGCGGTGTTGTCATTGGACTCGCGTGGGATGACCTGTTGTCAGGTGCGATTCCACGAAGCCCAGGCGATGACTCCACCACGGCCCTGTCAACCTATCTCCAGTAGCCATCACACTATGCTTAGTACTGGTTTCCAATGCTGAGGGACGATAGACTCATCGACCCTTAGTCTACATCCGGGTTCTCACTGAGCGCTGTCGTAACCTTGCGTCGACTAGTGAACGAAACCTACATTGTTATATGATTAGCCGAAAATCAACCTGAAAACCACCGCCGTTCGGAAATCAGCTTCCGTTTCAGGATTAAATGGCTCCAAGTTCAACTTGCTGCTGTTTGGCAACAAAAGCTTTATTCCCCGCTCCAGAACTTGTGCGCCAGGTGGTGTTTGGCCGCACAATGACACAAGAGATATGCACACGAAATCCATCTTGACTTGAGGGAACTTCAAACATTTGACTAACGGTGCTTTCAGTAGCACAGCAACTAGCATAGTAGTTATCTTCAGCATGCCAACGATGAGACGGTAGGTAGGCCAGCACTCAGCTACGAATCAATATCATTGGGGCATCAAATGAGTTTTATCGCGTTAGGACATGCACTGTACAAACCCAACCATCGTCTACCGACAAAGTGCTGTTTTAGCTAGAAGACCTTGCTGGCTAAAGTTTCGGACAGAACAGATGACATGGCAGTAAATTCAAGCATGCCATTTTGGAATCTCCAAGATTCTTACATGCGGTTGGAAAAAACGGTTCTTAGTCAACCCTGGAGGCTGATTACTCACTTCCTGCCTGCGTACTTTCCGCCATTAAGCGCTGCTATTGAGTTGGTTAATCTTCGCAAAAGCTATTGGGTCAGTCCTACTTATGGCTTGTATCTACCTAGCGGAGATAAGAGATCATACGGGGACCTGTAGAGAACACCCTAAGTCACCTCTTTTTCGGGGCGACCCCTATTCGTGTGTACGTCTGCGTCAAAGTTTTTCACACTGTTTAGAAGTATGCACTAGACTTCCAACAGTTGATCAGGCCAGCAATAACTGCCAGACTGTGGCGAGAAAAGAAGCCGTCATACATAATAAGCGTCGTTCAGTTGTAACACCCTTTCGCTGCCCTGCTACAATGCCACCCAAAGGAAGCCCGAGGGCTGGGATACTTCAAGGTTGCCCAAACCTAGACAGGAGAAGTCGAGAGGCAAAGATCGGGTTCGAACCATGGACTTTCCGGTCAGTAAATTCGCGCTCTAACCACCGAGCCATCTCGCCCCACTGAGCCAGCTCGTGGTTGTGGTCCCTCATTGCAGTTTGTGGGTCAACCATCTTTATAGCCGAACAAGACTGCAGTTAACCAAGCCCGTTTCCACCAACCTACATGGAGTTTCTTAGTGATTACCAAACCTAGGCCATTAAAGTGTTAGTCCACATTCCTATCCAGTCAGTTAACGAACCGGTAACGATTTTATAGTTCATGTGAGAATGAAGTAACAGACAAGTTACCTGCAAAGTTTCTGTGTAGTATTGAGTTCCGGAATCAATGTGAGCGATCACACAAGGATGAACCTGAGTTCCGGTCATGGCCTCTTTGATCAAGTGGGTCAAGGCGGAGTCCCGGAACGGCAAGTGCCTCTGGCCGGTTAAAAGTGCCAGTATTACATTAGCCATACCGGAAATTGAAAGACTTCTGCATGTAGTATTTATTGGATTATGGGTAGCGGGTCTGTCGATTTCGCTTGTTGTTCGAGTACTGGGAATAGGGGATTGGCCCTTATCTTGTGCTGTCTGCTTGAACTTGGTAAGTTCCACACCACTGGTCGTAGCTGTGGGGTGACCGTACCGACCGCAGCCAAGGTCGAGCAAGTGCAGCCTGGTTAGGCCTCCGGAAACTGAAGTTTAAAACGAAGGACAATGGATAGCAGCTACGTCGTGGGCGTCAAGTCTACAACAGCCCTCATGAAAATAGCAGCGACGAATAGTGAGTCAAAGTAGCGCACCAAAAACAAGCATAAAGCCGTTTCTGCGAGAACCCGCCAAACTGGGAGCTGACTGTATCATCCTTTGTGGATTAGCTTTCCGAAAATCCTCCAACAAGTTTTCATTTGGACAGAATCACCGCCATTTCCTGAGCAAATACGATGCCGATTTGGTGGTCAGTTACCATCGTGAAATAAAACACCAAAATCCGTTTTACTAACGCTCTCATCAAAGACCCTTGAGCCTCCAAATACGTTTTGATCAAGATCACGCACACGATACACTGTTTACATACATCATTTTTCAGAATTTTCGAGTGAAAGAAATGATAACTGAACGAAAACAATAGCAGTAATTTCTAGTTGGCATGACAACTCACTCTACATCACCATTTCACAATTCACGCTAATCAGGGCAAAAGTTGAAATTCATTAAACGAACGAACTATTCTTCATACTTTATGGTTAAAGCACAAATGGTACACCTGTCACTTCAAGCGGGATATAAACAGCAGTTGGTAAACCTGTTCAGTAGAAAACTGAGGAAGTTTATGTTTCATTGAAATTTGGCTCGAAGCAGATTACAATGACAAATATTTTCTCACCGTTAACCTTTGCCGTCAAGCTGAACACCGAGGAAGCTTTTCATAGGCTTTTACTCCCAATGAGTTTCGATGGGTTTATGTATGATGAGTTCAGGGTAGTCTGTGTGGTCAGCTAGGCGAGAAACAGCCACACACACACATATACAAGCGGACGTCTAGATCCTGTTCAACACCCTATCCAACAGAGTGCGCGGTGTGTTTCGTTTCAAAGCTGGTGTGGGAGCAGGAATTTAGTGAAAATGACAACTGAACCAAATTATTCAGACTGCATGATGTTTACGCCATGGCGATGGTGCCTGAAAGTAAACCGATGTTCCGAAGTTAGGTAGACAGGAGGCTGAATTTCAATGACATTTTCCATGAAGGTCACTTACCATGTGCCCCTGTCTCATTCTGTTCCACACAACACTGATAGACATGGAACGTGAACAACATGTGTGATAGACCCGAACCATTCGTATTCGAACTGTTCTTTTTGTCTGCACACGCTGCTGCCCGTTTCGTCAGGGCGACGTCCAAGAGATAAGCTGCTTTTTCCGCATTGGCAACTCGAATTTCTTTTTGGTTTGCGAGACATCTACTGATCTGCATAGCTACTGATTCGGAATCAGTAGACTGGAAAATATCACCCGGAGTTGGATTGGCAGCTGGATTTCTCTCTTGTGACCGTAAGTATCGGCTTGGAGACATGTCATTCTCATCTGTATGTAAGTATGGGAAAATAGAACTCGTTAGGTAACGTAAACAATAGAATCCGTCGCCAATTCAATGCTGAGTGAGGCACCCGTTACTCAAAAGAAACTCCTAAGTGAACAATTTACTCACGAAGGGAGCACAGTTCGTGCTTCGGAATAGGAACAGGAATCCATCTTCCAATCAGTGATCGATTAGTGAACAATTTCTAACCCCTGCACTCTTGGGAGAACGACGGGTCGAAGGTGATGTAATTTTTTAACCAATATTTTCTGCTTTATCGGCAGTCAGTCACCAAATGCCCAGGACCTTTTGCGGTTGCACCGTTAACACAGTAGACAGAGGTCAACTGTTGAGAACTCATTGCCCCTCCAGTGTCTCACCAAATATTGAGAAGAGATACCAAAAAAAACAAATTGTTCTCACCTATTGAGCCAATACGAACGGCTGGCTTGACAACATTTTACAGATTGCAGGCTCTGTTACTGCTATTCTGGATGGTAACGCAAGTAGACCATTTTATGCGAGAAATTGTGTGACAGAAAGCTCGAAAGCGGGTGCATGACATCGAGTGTACGATTTCCGTATAGAGAGAGAACAGCTGGAATATAGGGATGTTGCTTACGAACAGCCAAGCTAATGTAACTGAGATCACCAAAAAAGGAAGAATTCCAAAATAATTCACCATATCAACAGGCTGCCTTTCCTATTCAATTGTTAAGCTTCTCGGTTGTGCTTCACTTCAAACAGCGCATACTGGAACATCACACACTGCGCTTGCACTGCCCTGTTGCTATCAGATCTGTCTTTCCTGGTTCTGTATGACATTCTTAGACACCTGTGAACGATTCGTATGAGGGTTCTGCATCTAGAACACGTTTTCCCAATCCCATAAGGTTTCTATCGGCCGTCCTGGACACGGTCAGTTTGTGACAAATAGCCCATTGTTCACTATGTTTAAAGATCCTGAGTATCGCGTTTAAGACAAACTCTTTCATGCATGATAATTATCACTCGCCGATGAGCGGAAGCAGACGTACAGCGCACCGCATGCCAAACTAATCATATCAGACGAATCTGCAAAGCGGTGACAAGTACAGTTTTCACAAATGTCAGTGGCTCAGTGTGCTTTCAAGAGATGTTGGTAGAACAAGTAGGTTTGAGGTAAACAATAACAAGGATAAATCAGTCCTACATTCTCTATGAACAAAGAGGTCTTAGTCAGACTATCTACTTGATATCTACCAATGAAATGCAATCCGGAAGACCTCTTCGTGCTTTAAAAACAAGCATGTAGACAACTTCCCAATAAGCGACTGTTAGTAACTGTTAGATTCATTGGAATCATAAGCTCTGGTTCACAAAAAGACACCATGGACCTCAGCAAAACAAAGGAGATAATTCGGCAGTTACAAAATCGATAAGTCCTAGAGGGTCTGCTTCAGATCACCGTATAGGATAGATGAAATCCCGACACCGACCAGAAATGATCTACTGTAAACAGTCTTCCAGCTATCCTATTGACTACCCTCCAATAAGACCAAATTCGTTAAGTTTATGAGGAGGAACTATGGAACGTTAATTTATGGATCAGTGAACTTTAAGGTTGAGCAAGTATTTTGGTCGCCGTTCGTGCGCGATAACCATTTAACACTGGAATGCTATTCAAGCACAGAAAATGAGTGCACAGGTCTCCGTGAATCACGAGAAAGCATTACTTACGAGGCAACACGGCATCCTCGAGTAGGTCACAAAACTCCTCGTTTGGCCCGTTGAGCGCCACTGCAGATACCCGAACCGAAAACCGAATGCCTGTGACCTCCTTCTGTTTATTGAGAACTTGGAACAGCCAGCTTATTGCACAAGGAATGATGCCAAAACTTGTAGGAGGAGCTGTGTCCGTACCAACCATTGATCGTGTTTTTCCTGAGACAGAGTAGAATGAAAGGGAAGACATTGATATCTGACTGTTTTTTGATGGCCTTAGCAGGAAATATGGAAGTAATGTGGTACCCAGTATCATAATCATGCAATAACGGACCTAATTTCAAAAGATCGCTCTCGAATTGACTATTAGGAATCGCAGGGTGTTTGGTTCAGCGGAATACACTCATTTGCAAACTAATTTGGTTTTGCGAGAGACTCACCTGGAACCCAGCTGAATCTCACGGTTTTGATGTTTTCAAGCAAATGAGTGTATTTCGCTAATTTCGTGCAATTTGGTTTCAAGTAGAACATAAGGTTGATGGAAACTCGGGGACTGTGCCTACCTGATGAGCCCCCAAAAGGGTGAAGCCGGTCGTGGGCTGTCAAGAAGTTTTCAGAAACCTTATGATT